TGCGGAATTCGACACGTTTCCAATCGTTCTGGCTATTTTCATCATCGCCGTCAACTTAACCGTCATAATTTTATTCATTCGCCATCGCACACTCAGAACTGTCACTAACTCATTTCTTGTGAGCCTAGCTTCCAGTGACCTACTCGCAGGATTGTGTGGAATTCCTTTTTTACTTTATTGTTCAGCCACTCATAAATTCACGATCTGTGCTAATACAACTCTAATATGGCGATTCCTTTCTGTCTCTACGGTGCTGCATATTCTGCTGGTATCTGTGGATCGCTACATCGCCATAGTGCACGCCATGCGCTATCATAACATTGTAACACGCCGCGCGTTCTTCGCGCTCACAACCCTGGCATGGACTATCGCCGCGTTCGTTTCTCTGATACAACTAACTTGGCAGATACATTTGAGCGAGGAAGCACAAAAAACCTCAGAAAAAAGTCAGAAAACGTATGACCTCGCCACTTTTGTGCTATTTTTTATGATACCACTATTGGTGATGGCCTACATGTACATTCGCATTTTCAGTACGGTAAGGTACCACGAGAAACGGATATGGCGTTTTCACAGCCCTACTAATCCACATTTTTCCGCCAAAAGAAAAGCAGAATCACACAGCAATGCACAGCGCAAAACTGCCACCATCTTCCTAGCGATGCTTGTTATATTTACCGCCTGTTGGCTGCCATATTTTATTTTGAGTTTTCAAGAGATGAACGCGTTTGACCCACCTGAATGGGTGCTCTATGTCTTTTACTACTACACTCGATATTTCACTTCGTTTGCAAACCCCCTTCTGTACATTTTTGGAAAAAGAGACTTCAAAGAACTATTACCTTGTTCGGTTTGCAAGAATGACCGTGAAGAGAGATTCAAAAGCCGAGCGAGTACAACACTCACAACTTTCTACAGCAACGAACAGAGAACAGCTCATTGTTGAACTAAATGAGCCTGAGGGGAACACAAGCAATGACGCTTACTGTTAGTTACATAACGGTCAAGCTGTCGATAAAAACAGCTCAGCACGCCTAATACTTGTAACACAACATAGGAGAGGATTCAAAAGAAAGGGGCTAGTTGTAGTTATAACTGAGGATTACACTTTAAATTGAAAATTCCCTCTATAAAAGATCGGGTTATCTAAAGACAATAAGAAGCTAAGCATTAAAAAGTATTTGAGCAGGCGAAATTTGTCATGCAAATCAATCTTAACTCGAAGAGTTCGCTTGACACGTATCCATTTTTTTTTTTTTTTTAGTCTGTCTGTTTCAGCATGGCTCTGAATGATTTTCACGGGAAGCACTATTTATAGGAACACAGTTTACCGCTTGTTGAAAATGACATTTTCCTCGAACTTACTAAGGAGTTAAATTAAGTCCCATTAGTGAGAAAAAGGAAAGTCAATAAGGGAATAATCCCATGTTTGCTGTAGAAATAACTTAGAATCAGCTGAACCTGATTTGCACCTCCGTAAAAATGGAGCAAATTCCTTTATCTAAATCATGCGCGCTTTCACTCCATTAACAAAGACACCCGAGAAATACTGCATATCATTGAAACAAATTTAAATTAGTACTTTAGAAAAGGTTGCTCCTGAAAGAAAATTAAATTTGGGAGAATAGGAAGACTTTTAGCACATCATAAATAAAAAAAAAATTCAATCGCTCGCAAATTTTACTTAGGAAGTGCAAACGAGCATTTCTTGTCAGCAAAAAGATGTACAAGAATCGAAACATTAATTTTCATGGAGGGGCGAGTTTTAGACGTAAACACATCGACATGTACATGATAATATATTCTTTAAATTTGCTGAAAAGAATAACAAAGACAAGACATATTCTGAATCCGGGGTTGTCTGATAAGCAGGCTTTTTTTTTTCTCTCTCCCAATAAAGTCTTAAAAAGCAAGACAAATTTGTATTAGAATTAGCGCTAAAATGAATTAGTATAGAACGAAGACAAAGGTCGCAATCGCACAAAGCGAGTAGTTTTCCGTTCACCCACAGCGAGCAGCGCAAGATAAAAACTTCTATTTATGCTATCATGAAGTTACAGCATTCAGTTACCACCTTGAAAAGCATAGTAATAAAAGCCTCGAGCAACTTTTCAAGATAACATGAGTGATTACACTTATAAAGCCATTTATATATCGAATTAAAATTCTAGACATGTCTCGCACGTAGCTAAATGCACGTAATTGCCGAAAAAGAGCTGCATCTGTTTTCCGTTTGGCGGCAATTGTTTTTACATCAGAACAAAGATGATTGCAATCGCCGAGAACGAAATAATGAGCCATACGCTCTCTTCGTGTGTTGAAAGGTTAAGATGATTGTCTATAATGATAACAATCTGCTGCACTTTAATCCTTAGGTTTTAGCTTTAGAATAAAAACCTCGCGCTTGTCTCTTGCTCAAGAATCAAGGCATAATCTAGTCAATTAGGTGAAAACGTTTTCACATTTATTCTTAGTCTTTTGTGATATTTCCAGATGAACAAAACAAAAAAGCTAAAGAAAGAAGGATGTGACTAAAATAAAAATTCGAACACTGGAATTTACTCTCTCTCTCTCTCTCTCTCTCTCCGTCTCTATTATTTCAATAACCTATTTCATTTACCTTAAAGGTAAACTATCATTTTCACTCAGCAAAAAGGTCACTAAAACAATTCATGGCATGAAATAAGTTAAAAATAAGTATCATTACGTGCAAAGTGAGCTACACCAGGCTGTTTTTAAACTTACTTCAATTTATCCATTGATATGTCTGTTTTAGGAAAAGGTGCATCTTTAAAAAAGACATAATCCCACACCTCTCTGGTGATCTGTTCCGCCCTGAAAAGGCATAATACGGTTAGCACATGGAAAGAAAAAAATAATAAAAACTCGTAGCAGTTAATCTAGGCGCATGCATGAAGCTGTAGTGACAAATTGCAGCGTTAATTCTCTTACTGTGACACGGAGAATTTTTGAGAAACCTTTTTCCCTGCGACACAATTTTGCCACCGCAACAAGTCGTACAAATTCAAACAAGTTGGTATTTGAACGATAATCGCAGCAATAAAATGTGGTGATTAGTAGCGACTTGTTTAGGAAGCGGTGGACGGGGAGCGGTTTGATTGTGGCAGACATGTCAGAGACAGAGTCGCCTTGCTTGTCCTGACGTTTAGAGAGGCAGAATGTTCCCTTAACTTAAGAGAAATTTAAAAAAAATTAAGTTCTTTTAAATGAACGAACCAAAATGGCAAGAATAAACCAAAAGTGAACAAAGATATTGAACGATAGAGAAGATTAACTCAGATTGCTAATGGAGGAAAGGGCAAATCTAGGATATAAACTATAAAATATTAAGCTCCTTCGGTAAATTCCTGTCTAAACCGAGAAAATTAAAACACAATCTTTTCAAGCTAAACACCTGACCCAGTTTTGAAGAATTCGCGTTTTCATTACTTTGTTTCAAAAGCTAAAAATGCTCGGAAGGAAACACAGCATGACTTCTATTCTAAAGAGAAAATGTAAATCAATGAAAATCCCGTTTTCAGTAATAAACAAAACAGCTGTATATTTTTTCTCATCGACACCGAACCCTTCTCTATCACCATAACGACTCAACTGAATCACGTTAATCTCCAAGATACACCTTCCATAAGAAAACTAGCATCTATCTAATTTATCTATGACTTTTCAAAAAAATAATCTAATTATAAGGTTGATCATTTTCCTTCTTCTTCCGCACCTGCACGTAACTTCTTTTATTTTTAAGGGAGAAACGCATATTAATCAAGGATGTGAATTATGTTGGAGATACAATTATCTGAATCATCTCTTTTTTGGTATCTGATGCGTTTATCGCCGTCATAAAATCGAATGTAACCAGATGTTTCGCGAAACTTCTTTTTCGTGTGAAGAACAAAGGTTTTGAAAATAACCTTTACAGAGACAAGGAGAAAATGAATGTGTCCAACGAGTGATACTCATAAAGCTATACTTTCCCTCAGCAAATCTTTAGATAGTTAGCTACAAGAAAGAAAATACTCGGTTTTCTCCTTCTACATCCATAACAAAAGGCTATAGTTTACTGTTGATCATGGTGATTTACTTTTAAAAATAATTGTTTCCGCTTACTGATCGCTCTCCGTTTCATAGGAAACATCTCAATAAGTTTATTTTGCACACAGAGCTTTCAACATTGTAGTATATGAAAACGTCACCGTAAAAAATTGGCTACTTTTAATTAAACATCGTTTGGAAGATAAACCTACTGTGGTTGCACCCAGACTCGGCACGTTCTGGGAAGCGACGAGCATACAAACATTGTCTTTCCGGCTGGTTTTATACTTTCAGCAAAAATCTTTTACAATTTTAAGTTACGCGATACTTAAGCAGTTCCACAGTGAAATTTCATGACAAAAAAAATACTGTGCAAAGTAAAGATGTTTCTTGAAACAACTTGTCACACAAAGCTAACATGACGGATGGATTGAAATGATAATTAGTGTTCATTTTGATTGGCCACAGACGGCGAGGGTTAGTGAAAAATAAAACCAAAAAGAAAGTTCATTTATAAGATATATGTATAATTCATTTATAAGATATATCTATAATTCACTTATGAGATATATATATATATAGCCTCCCGATTAGCTCAATTGGTTAGAGCGCCGGACTGTTGTGCGGGAGGTCAAGAGTTCGAGCCCCAGCCGGACAACACTCAGGGTCTTCTTTCTATAATATCATGGAATGGATAGACATTCTAGTCTTCTCGGATAAGGGCGAATAAACGGTAGGTCCCGTCTCCTGCATCTATTATCTATTGGTTGGTAATTAATTAGGTTAGGCAGGGGACGTTAAAGAACCCACTCAAGAGATTACTGTGATGTGGTCTGGCCTGTTTACTGGGAAATGGGGGGAGGGGGCATCTTCAACTTCCTTTGATTCGTTGTAAACTGCTTCAACCAGTCTGGTAAAGTCCCCCGCACAGTGTAGTAAGAATGGCCCTGAAAAGCCCCATGGGGAGTAGTCATCTAACCCATTCCTCCATCCATATACATTCGATTACTACACTAGTGACCGAGCAAACCATATGGCCCCATTCAGACGAAACATAAAAGCGATACAGGCCATTATAAGAATTCACTTATCAAATAACTAACACTTGAAGTCGTACCTTATTCCTAGGGGCCCGCCGGCAGAACCGTCAAAGGAGCCCTCTTGTAACAGATGCGCGACCGTGTAGTAAGCATTGTAAATGGTGGAATCAGACAGCGACTCAATCAGATACTGCTCGTCCCAAGGTAAACGAGTACCTATCAAGATAAAGTTGAAGTATAAAAAGCTTAAGATCCCCCTGTATTTGTAAAAACAGTGGAGCTGACAAAGCTCTTCTGGGGTTGTCAACGACTACGTGCGCGAGCTTTCCTCGCGAGACGTACGCGGATGACTATTAGCACACGAGCGTTGGGTGACAAATTCCTCCACAAACAAAAATAAAACGACATTTCCATGACAGAGGGTAAAAATTCCGCGACCGTTTATTTCCCAATCACGATACGTCTAACGCGTCTACAATATCCCAGCACATTTTTGAACAGTTTAATTTGCATGTTGAACTAATGATTCTTCCCGACAACACCTGAAATAATCAGATTTCGAACTTTAGATTGGGCTCTCGAATTAACGGTCAACCGACTACCTCCCCGAGAGCAAACCAAGTATTCCTCTTTTAAAGTTACACTGTGTATGAAACAACGCACGTTCAATTGTAGACAATCGGATTAGTGATATCTGAAGAATTTGACCGGTACTTGACCTGGGAAATATCATCGATAGAAAGGAGAGGGACATCTTACAGCGTAGATATCGGCTGACTAAAGAGAAAGTGAGAGTGCGCTATATATGGTCATGTTTGACAACAGTTGCGGACATTTCAACCTAACCTGCATTGTTTGTAATTAAAGACAATGACAGATGGAGAAGACGCATTCAAATTTTCGTCGAGACTTCAAGGATCACTTAAAATTCCTTATCGAAGAGTGTAATAAAAATATCATCAAATTAATTTCCACCCCCTGCTGGCGTCAGTGGAGAAAGGAAAGCTAATGAGTAATCTAAATAATAATATGCGAATATGTTTTTTATCAGAAGCTTTTCTTCATTTGTGTTTTTTTGGTGCGAAATTTTAAGTGCTGACAAAAAACAAGCAAAGCTTCATACGCATCACCTATTAATGTTTTCGGCAACAACTCGGTGAAACTGGATGCGATCGAGGAAAATCACATAAGGTTAAATGACAACAATAAGAGAAACTTTTAATCTAACAGGTATAACTGTTCAGCAAGGAAGCAGGTTGCAGCGCCTTCTATTCTAGCAATTCAACGAGGAAAGAGATGACCGTGATAAGGGCGCCAAGACATTAACATTACCTCGGAAGTGGGAGAATGTGCAATAAACGCGTGCAGCGCCGCCGGCTGGTGGATAGCCTTGGTACAATGTGCAGTAAGTGCGGAAACTAACGCTTACTAAAGCTAAGGTCACCTAGAACGCTTTCCTTAAAAGGTAAAGGATGGCTGAAGAAATTCCAACGAGGGTCACAAAAACGAAACTGAGAGCAATGTCAGCTCAGAAGGATCCATTGGCAAAATTCGTCACAAGACTAAGTCTTTCCAACAACAAAAAGCTTCATCACAGCTGACACAAGTTAACAACAGCTACTAACCACACTTTTATATACTCACCGAGACCATAAGACCATGAACACGCATGTTCCTGAATCCAATCTAGGGTGGCTTCAAAGTTGCGCCTGGTTTCCTCAGCATATCTGAAAAAGCAAATTTGACGTGATTCAAACCGGTCACCAGCAAACGGCAAGCATCATCTGAAAGTAAGCCTCCAAATGATTACAACACAAAGCACTCTCCTTTGAATATTTTGGCGAAAAGAAACGTCAACAGTTTCAAACACAGTGTCCTGACGACAGACTGATTTCCAGCTCTCCCTAAAGCCTCTCAGGAGAGTCCAACAAGTTTCTCCAAAATGTCATCACACAGCTCAGAAGGATCCATTGGTGAAGCTTCTCATGAGACAGAGTTGTCCTCGACAAAACTTAAAAGTGTTCATCACTGCTGTGCATGTTTTTCCAACTACGGCCAAAAAGAGCCGAATAGAGCGCATGCGATACTTACGCGCAGGTAAGAGGTTTCTCATTGTCGATAAGGTGTGTCGTTTGAATTTCATCACTGCAGCTTCGATGAGTGTAAAGATAGCTGAACAACAAGGAAACACAACACAAAGACTTACGTGTTCAAAGTTTTCAGGGATTCCCTCGCAGTATTTTTCCAGGATTCATCGCCATAATCCAGGAACCTACCCAGAAAAAAAGGTTCAGAATGTCTCCTTTGGTTATTTTGGCAACATCAACTGGACATCATTCACAATATTGACCAAACCTTACCACTGGTCGCAAAGAGCAACAACGCACTCATCCGCTGACCGCGAAATGACCTTCCTCTCTGGCTCCATGTAGATCCGTGCTTCACCCTAAGAAATTCAAAATATTCACTGAGAGCAATCCCAACCGAAGTTTTCTTGGGGTTATGCTGTTATTAAGAACAGAACATATGTGAAAACAACTTGCCTTGAACGACAGCATTTTCTGCCCGGTTCGTTCCGTTTTTTTCCGCTTGCTCATTCATTACTCAGTTTTAATCTTTCAGTTGATTTTCAAATTCAAACATTGAAAATTCACCAAATGAAGTCATTGGTGATGCAAGACGTAAGGTAAAGTCTGTTTACGAGCCTATTGGCCCATTAGGCCCGTGCTTAACTCCGGTTTCTGTAGCATGAAGCGACTAGGAGTATTTCTACTCCCCCCTGGATGGGATGCCAGTCCATCGCAGGGTTACCCACAGCATTAAATTGTCGGTACCCATTTATACACCTGGTGGAGAGAGGTACTGTGAGAGTAAATTGTCTTGCCTAAGAACACAACACAATGTCCCGGCCGGGGCTCGAACCCGGACCACTCGATCCGGAGTCGAGCGCACTAACCATGAGGCCACCGCGCCTCCAATGCAAGACGTAAGGATGGCGTAAATTCATCATGGCCTTGTGTCCAACAGATCCACAAAGGCACAGTTTTTGAAAGAGCTATTACTCAATCAAAGGAACCTTTCAATTCTAAAGATTGTTGATGCAATATGTCAAAAACTGATTAGGGTAAGAGATCGACAAACAAGCAAAAAAATTAAACACAAGAGTTAAAATCAACTTACGCTGTCTAACATTTTCTTCTGCACAAGTTTCTTCACGTCTTGAACCTTATGGCCGGCATATTCCCCAACAATGATTGTTCCCTCATAAAAGGCCTTCTTGTAAGTGAGTTCTTTTGCTTCCACCAGGAGATCCTTATCATTCTGGCTCTTTATCTTGAGGTCGTCACAGGCCTTAACCGCACAGAGGTCCCCATAGCCAGGAACCCGGATGATGGGAATAGGTTCATATGGTAGAACCATCTCATCCGTAATACCATATTTCTGTCTGAATGCCTTCAGGTTCAATAAAACAGTAGAATCTTAGTTCCTGCAACAGAACTTTGTCCCTTAAAAAAATAGATAAATAAAAATCGCCTTGAAAAAGAAAGACCAATGACTTGTTTTGAAAGTAGTAACATGATGCAGTTTGTCGCCGAGAACTCTCATAATTCATACTTTGAGGCCTTTGTGTGTCCTGGGCATGAGTCAAAACCCATGAGTATTAGAATAACAGCAGTTACTTTGTACCCACTCGAAACTAACACTAACATGCGCATGTAAAATCATCAGAAGCTTACTGACCTGCTTGTTCTTAACATCTCTCAAGGCAGCCTAATCATCTGGAGCATCTGAGGGAACTGACGTCACAATACCGGTACCTAGATATGGAAAGTCATCAGAGTGGAGAAAACTTGTCAATAACACCTAGCAAAAAAACTTGCTGAGGTAGAATTATCTCTAAAACCTTAGCAAGCACTTTGCTGGTGTTAGTGCTGCTTCAAGCTATGTCGCTTGAAGAATGATACTAACTTGAAACTGTACACGTGTTTCAGAGGTAAAACAGTCCTAGGATAGGGTCTGAAAACCAGTCTCACCTTTGTCTTCTTTGATAGTCAACATGGGAAGAGTGTAAACCACTTTGTGATGTGTCAGCGGAGCATCCAGAGGAATTCCCATTATGTCCTTCATATAAAATTATTAAATAATTAATACAATTAAAGATTCCGAAATCAGACATCTTTAAGCAGTAAAACGGCATCTACAACAGGAAGTAGGTGATGAGAACTTATTTCAATTGCTGAAACCAAGATCTGAGTGACCACAGTGGTCAATCAAAGAGGATAATACAGAGGAACCAATGAAAACTGCCAGGAAAGCCAGAAAACAGAGCCACCAACGAGTTCCAATGGGATTTAGCTTTGGATCTGATTGGTTGAGAGAGGAGATCAAAGTAAATATCAAATCAGTTCTGGTTTCTTTCAACACTCAGATTGAAATTGCTTAATATCGTGGTGCTGCGTTTGCAGGGGAGTATCACAGGGTAATAAGTGAGTTGAATGTAAATGGTCAGCTTTGAAACTATTTATTGTGGCCTAGTTACATTATCGACTCAGTTCACGAAACCAATTAACCAATTTAATTACCTTAATATAAAACAGAGTTCGTTTTGCAATACAGAAATCAAGAATTTATCAAAATCTCTGAGAGAGTGTCTGTTTTGCATGCAAGTTGCTACTTAAAACGTACTGGTAAACTAAAAATTTGAAAGATAAAGAAATGACAACATTTCAATGTGTACACACCTGTCCAGTCAGTTCTAGCAGAATATTAACAACTCCCTCCTTTGGGGTGAAACCTTGATAGGACATGTTCCTTGCTCCTCGTCGAGTGCTGATATAGATCTCATTTTCGATGTTTGTCTCAAAGGCAATGTACTATGAAAAAGGTTCAACAATGGTTCCCCAAAAATACAAAACACTAATAATAGTTGAAAAAGTCACCTGCTATCATGGATTGAACTGCAATTTAGTGGTGAAGAACTTAACACTTGTTACAGTTATAGCTAATGCTAGTTTTCCTCCAGTAAAATCTACATGTACCTCCTCTACAACTGGAATTGGTCTTGCCAGTGGCATAAACCTTACACTTGCAATTACCATGGTTGGTGCATGGATTTAATCCAGTAGTAACAAATTTGAATGCTAAATTTTTTCTAAATCTGGAATAGTACCAAAAACAAGTACATTCCGCCCTACCTTCTAACCTGACTTTTATTGGTTTTTAAATATTGTTTATGAATATTGCGATTTTATTGTTGTAATTTGTTAGGGGAACAAATGTCAATTGGGGTGTGCCCTGTTTTTTTTTCTCCTTTGTGGTACCTTTTTATACATATTTTTGTATGGTATGTTGGCAAACCTCAATAAACTACACTAAACCTTGACAAAAGCACCAAGAAAGAAGTTTGCAGTTTTAGACAACAACTGTTGTGTTTCACCTTGATGTCTGGCTGAACCCAACAGTTTGTTTGTCCATACATGGTTTCTGGTCTCAGTGTAGCAGCCAATAGAAATACATTCTTTCCAGACAATGCACTGCATGGGATTGTAAAGAAAACAAAAAAGTCCAATGAGGAAACGAAGTACTTTTCAGGGCAAGTGGAAATGCATAAAGCTGTAAATATAAATATTTAGCTATCTCTAACAAAATTTTGAGAGTGTTTACTTTGTCATATTGTAGATTTGAGAAAAAAAAATTGAAAACAAAAAAAAAGAATAACTTCTCCAATTTGTAATTAGCATGGTGTGCCTGAATAAAATACAGTATAATTATCTGCTTGAAAGAAGTATCCAGGGGTAATTCCTCTCCATGAATACCTCAGTTTCCCTTTGAATGGTTCACAAATCTTCATTTTGATTCCAGTGTATTCCTGAGGTGCTACTCCCTAATAACCAAATAATAACATTAAAGTAATAAACAGAATAGAGATCAATGAAGAAATCTTTCCAATGCTGAGAATTAATTTGAGTTGTACAGCTAACCTCTCCTGTCTGCCGGTCATGATCCATACAGGGCTGGCCATCCTTAGGGGAAAATATTGTGTATCTGATTGGAAACAAAAATCAGTTATATGGCAGCTGCTGTTTCTAATTATAGAATTTAGTATTAGATAAAAAGTGTAAATTGACACTTTACCTTCTTCCTGGAAGAAAATAAATTAAGAAAAGAAGCTTACAGAGGGCCACTGACCATTACAACCTGACTCACCCAAAAACCTACTTACTGATTTTATAGGAGAAGACGAACAAATGAGCAAAGGAAAGCTAAGGGATATCAAATATTGTCTCCTCAGTCTCTTGATAACCTGTAGGTACTCTACTGAGGGAGAGGGAAGAGTGAAGAATACATCTACATGTCAGACTGCAGCCCCATGGGCCCAAATCAAATTACAGGTGGTATGAGTACGAACAAGAGGCAACGAAAAAAAAACAAAAAAGAAAGTCTTTTTAAAGGATTACACAATTACTGGTCAGGTGGACCAGTAGTTTCCATCGTGGTCCTTGCAAACAAATGAAACAAATGGTCTAAATTGAACATAACATCATTAAGAACATCATTAAGAACCCCAACCGGCCGTAGGCAAACCAGTTGGCTATTTACAAGCGTGGCCAAGGATCTGAACACGGGCTACCATGAAACAAATCTAGTGGTCAGGGTGGGACTTGAACCCGGGAGCGGCGGATTACGAGTCCGACACTCTAACCACTCAGCCACACTGCCTCAAAAGACCTTAATAGAGACTACTTTTGCAACAAAAACAAAAGGGAAAACTAAAGAAATGAAGATGACTATCATGTACTCTCTAATTACCAGCCTTATGCAAACTGAATGTAACATTCACAGTAGAAGAAACAGAACAATGTACACCTTTTGCCAAACTTGATATTTCCACCATCTTTAAGAGTCCAGAAGTGCCACCTTACAAAGGAGTCATAGTATGGATTGACATGTGTGGTGATAAATGACCGTCTCCAGTCTACCTGGTGAGTTAAATACAATCATGATGAACAAAAAGGTTTAAAAGTGGTAAATATTAATGGTACATGAAAATTCTGATGTAGGGAGAAAGATTGACTGAAATGGAAGGACAAATGTAAGTAAGAAAGGACGAGTAACCCTGCAGTGGCCAGCATAAAGACTGAAGCTTAAATTACCAGGAAATAATGGGAGTAGGGGTACACTATTTCTGCAATGAAATTCACTTGTCTCAGAAAACCACCCCTCTAGCAAGCATTTTTCTTCCTGATTTCAACAAGTTGACAAAATCACATACCTTCAGTCCCATACTTTGTAGATCAGATTTTGCCAATGGTGGAAAATAATGTAACCAGTAATCAGCCTCAGCAAACCTAAAGTGATAAGTCATTAACTGGTAAGAATAGCAGTTTGAAATCATCATTAACAACTGACAGCTTGACCCTGCCACAAGACAAATTATCAAGCACTCATTTATATATATATATCAAATGATAAAAAGTTCAACAATGTTTCGACAAATATTTAAACAAAATTTGCCAAAAGCTTTGAAAAAGACAACTATGGTTGGGACAAAAGTTTATAAAAAAAAAAAAACTTACTGAAAAAGAACCAGGAGTACTGATAAACAATTATTCACCAAGCATGATCAGTACAACAGTCAAATCAGTCAAGTCCTTCTCAGGACTACACTCACCCGGACGATCAGACTACACCTTCACAATTATTCACTAAACATGATCAGTACATCCCTTACTTTCTTATTTCCTCATCACTTAATCCAATTGACTGCATAATTTGCCACTGATACTCCAAACCACCTGTCTTGGCTGCAATTTTGCTTTTCATCTGAACAGATAAAATCAGAATACTCACAAAAATAAAAGCAATCTATAAACAGTTATAGCATAATAATTGACTTTTGAGGCTGCATGAGCCATCCTCTATTTAACCACTGCTAATCTCAAAGACTTAAAAAAAGTGATATAGAGGAAGTTTTGTAAGATACACTTATGCCAAGGAGAGGGCTAATGAATTACCTACATGTATTATGCAAAAAAAAAAACCGAATGACTTCATCTAAAGTTGTCAAAACATCAGCCACTAGGAACATTTTGTTTCAATTAAACTGCATGAACATCCAAAACATGACTAACATTATTTAAAATTTGCATTTTTTTCACAACTTTATGTAACATTTATCATTTCCTGCACCTGTTTTGATTCCTCTTTTTCAACTTTCTCAGGAAACTTTGGAGGAAATCCAAAATCAGCCATTTCCCGCTTCAGTTTGTCTGCACAGGCCTATGAAAAGGATTTATAACTGTACTTCAGAGAACAACTAGTTATTTAACTGTCAGTACTTGCCATAACATTAAAACACATGAAGATAATCAAAAAAATATTGATTAAAAAAAAACTGAGCTTGACTCTTTGAACATTTTCCACTTTTCTCTGAATGGATAAAACAAAAAATATTATCTGATAGCATTAGAAATTATGTAGAGAGGAAGAATCCTACAAGAAAGGGATGAGAACACTTATCAGGTCTTGATGAGGAGTGCTTAACACCCTTTTTTTCCCAGGCAGTCAAAAACTTTGACAATTTAAAACAAAGAAATACAATAAAAAAGCATTGCATTACTTTAGCCATCTTAATGGATAGGAAATACCTTTTGAATTAAATTCTTAGAGCTTTTACAGACTGTCTGTCCTTCAGAGAAAATAACAGTTAGTATCTACTCAGAAAATAACTTTTATAATCTACCTTGATTGGCATGCCTGTACAGTGCAGTCCAAATGGAAAAAGACATCTCTTGCCTTTCAGTCGTTCATAACCAGTAGCAAACTGTTCCCAAAATAAAGTTTTGACTTAGAATAAAAATAATCACCGAGTAATTTTTAATACAGAAAAGTTTTCAGACATAAATTTTGAAAAAAATTAAAAAGCAAATACAGTTATTAAATGAGAAAAAGTTGTGACTTAAAAAATATCACTGAAAAAAAAGTTAAAAATCCCTTACCTCAGCCTGTTCCAAGGATCCAAGATTATTTTCAGAACAGAAATAGAAAGAAACAAACAGAACATAAGACTAATATTATATCAACTGGCATAACAGAGATCATCAATAATGTTAAAAAGATATTGCTCTAGTTCATTTCAGTTTGTATTATTCAATGCAGCACACCTTTGAAATAGTAAATGTGTGTCCAAGATGAAGTCTTCCATTCATATAAGGATATGGAAATGTGCAAAAGAACTTTTCCTTCCTGCATAAATAATATTGAAAGTAATCAAAATAATCTGTTTTCTGGCCAGCTACATGTACATGTATGTAAAAGCAGTCAGTTAATGCTTAGTATTGAAACTTTCTTCTCTTTCTTAATAAGAGTCAATATTGGAAATATTGTGAAATATGAAACAATTTTCAAGCTTGTTCTTTCTACCTTTTCCAACTTTCACTTCATGGTAACAAGCTTATATTGATTTTTCAAAATATTCATGGAAAAGCCAATTGGTTATTTACCTAATAAGAAATCATAGCCACGACTGATAAAAAAAGAGAGAGAGAGAACAAGTATTTCATACTGTAAACTTACTTTGGATCCGGTGATCCGGGCTATTGATAGAAAAATATCAAAATTACTTGAAACTGAATATGAGTGATAATTAAGACCAAAAATTAGAGGAATCTGGCAGAGGCCCCATAGTGTTAACGATTCTTACAGGAAGAGAGTCCACTTCAAAGGTTTTATTCTCAGCCCATCTTTTTTGGATCTGCTTCTCTATCTCCTTCAAGTAATCAACCTTGGCTGTACTCTTCCTGTCAATCTACGAGACAAATACCTTGAACTTACAAACTAAATGTAATAAACAAAGAGAATCAAATTAACCAAGTAGTGGACAAGTTGTAATACAGTTTATTTCAATTTTTTCACATTTATTTGGAAAAGCAAATGAACCAAACTTAAGTAGGTTTTCTGTACAAAATGTGACTTATTTCATATTTTACATAACCATTACATGTACACATGATGATGCAACCCTTTCAGAGAGTGGTCTCATATATAAATCATAAAAATCAGTTTTTGCAACAAACATAAAAAAGCCATATAATTTCCAAGGCTATTCACGTAACATGTTTTGTGCATTCCCATGCCCTAAATTATAAGGTAAAATCGCATGATTGTGGAATAATACACATGATTATCTCGTGGAGACCATTTAAAGGTAACTTAGTCTCTATAATTTCCTACTGGGGTCAGTAGGTGCTCCCAACCCTTTCTGTGGCTGTATCATTTAAGGCGGAAGTGACCAATATTACTTCTAAATATTAGTGCCGCTTCATTTTTGTTTACAGCAAGTTTAGAACCATTAACATAATTTGGGTATAAGGAAGCAGATTTTTTAACAGAATAAATACTGAGTGCAACTACTTTCAACTAGTATCCTCAAGATTGCATCAGCTTTTTAGGATGTAAAGAGTTAACTTTTGAAACACCGTTCACATTACACGGCATAGATCTGCAAAATGTAAAAGGCCTAGCTCTCCGAAATCGCTTTTCCTCCTGTAACACAGTGTTTATTGCAAGATAATAGCTGCCTTAATATATGTATCATGTGTGCACGCAATTAGTTCCATTTGAAAAGTGATAATGAAAGTGAAAACTGCGTGAGGCGGAAAGAACGAGTGATACAACTAACACTTTGCCAGACGACGCAGAATATACACAATACTGGTACTTACCGACATCTCTGCAACAGAGCTGCAGTATCGGCGAGTCACAATTCTCACAAAACTTATCGGAAATTTGAAAATACCGGGAGAGTAATGTATCGCACATGCAGCTAAGTGCATCACAATCCACCGCAATGCCAACAGCATTAACAGCGGCAATACGCTTGAGTAAGATATTTCCATGTAAGACACTTTAAAAGATCAGTTAACAAGATGGCGGACCACTTCGACGAGAAGAGTGGAACTGTCCCGTCAAAAACTCCATGGGGAAACTGGGCACAGACGATTGATGAAGTTTTCATCGAGATCACTGTACCAAAAGGAACCAGAGGAAGAGAAATCGTGTGTGATATCAGTCCAAAAAACATAAAATTTAGCTTAAAAGGACAGGAAATTTTCAAGGTGATAAATTTATGCGTCACATCCAAGATCCAGATCGTGATGACTTCGTTGTTTTTAGTGAAAATTTTAATTTTCTATTTGTAGAGGAAAGCAAGTTGTGCATCGTGTTCTCTTAAGCCGGGCATTGTCGTCAACTTTTTAACCTGGTTATGATACTTTTCATGGTAGGGAGAACTCTATGGGACAGTTTTAGCCGATGAAAGCACTTGGACATTAGGTAAATAAGCTCGACGAATGTTTCGTATATGTGAATTCATAAAAAAAAATCGTGGGTTATGGCAATAGCAAACTATTTCCCATCGATCAAGTACAAGTTCGAAATAATAAGACAAGTTACAGTGGTAGAGAAAACAAATCCGTGCATCCCTTTGGGGTAGGCCACTTTCCTGTGTACGCTAGAAACGACCTAGGCCTTGGCGGCTGGCAATTAGTTTTTCAACATTTCTACACTTAAATTTGTGCTTAGACTCAAATGCATGACTAGGAACTCAGAGAGGGTTACTTGCACAGAAGCCTAAACCTAGGTGAATCAGCTACCTATCTCTGTGAGCTTTTAAAGTCAAATGAATCAGTCGAGGGGGTATAGCCCTGTTCAGAGAAAGTAACCAAGGTTGCCCTTAACGAAGGGCTACTGTTCAAAACATCAGCTTTAGAATCTCTTTAGTGTCCAATTCATATTTTTCAGTTAGCCAACAAAATCAAATTGTATTTTTTCAATATCAGTTGTCTTTTATATCTTTTAGAAGACAATGAGCTTGTAAGAATAATTTTGATGAAATCCAGCAGAGATGCAGCTAGTGGCTGGAAATCATTGTTAGTTAATGAATATTCTGCTGACCCATGGACTTTCAATGAAATGGAAAAGAAGTTAACTTTGGAAAGATTCCAAAAAGAGGTAACCCCTGTCTTCCTTCGTTTTAATCAAAGTTAAAATTGAGAGATCCATTCACATAAAGAACCAACTGACTTATTTTGTTGTTGTTGTTGTTCAACAGAACCCTGGATTTGACTTTAGCAAAGCTGATATAACAGGAAACTATTCTGGTGGGGGTCCAAAGTTCCCAAGCTGAGAGAACATTCAACTATATTGAAACATTCAATAAGAGCCAACAAGAAAAGAAACTCAATAAAGGAAGCATTAGGTCTTAATTGGAAATAGTTACAGGAGCAATATCTTCACTTATAGTGCCTGCATCCTTTTATGAAAATGGGTGTCCATTAGGCATTACCAACTAAACACTGTAGCAATGTTTTACTCAATCTGAAAAAATATTGGTGACCATATTTCCTTACATGTAAGATTACTGGTTACTAACAGGGCCATCCCTTCACAATCAAAAGGAAGTGTGTAGTAGAATCTAGCAAATAAACCACAAGACAAACAAAGGATTGAAATTATGGCTTCCATCATCAACTATGTATGTCAAACAACTTTATTTTGAGTCCAAACTTCTAACTGTAGAGATATTTGTGAAGACAAACTGAAAGTGAATGACACTATTAAAAATAAACTTTTTATTTTTCAACTTTGACATAAAGTTATTATCATATGACCAGTTCAGGCCCACTCATGCATGTGCAGGGCCGGACGGGTTGACATGAGCCAGTCCAGAAAAAGCCATCTGGTCCTACTGCCTTGATGTCACTTTGCTGTCAAAACTTAAAGGAAACAAGAAATGAGAGAAAAGTCATATGTTTGAAGGAACTGGGAGTTTCTTGTTCTGACTTTAGAAAATAAAGGAAAGTTTCAATTGCAGAATCATTTTGTGCTCTTGTGGTTCCGAGTACCCATCTATCACATCCTATTTAGGTTGAAATTTTCGACACTCAGAAGTCGTGATAACTGCTTCTTGACTGAGTTTGGTTGGGCTGAATGGGAAAATATTTGACTCTCAGTCATGAGGCACGAACTTTGCTGCACTCAGTCCATGTGTTATGACCTCAAGCCAAATATTCTCTCTTCTGGCCCTCCCGCTCAGTCAATAGGTACATATTTTTGGACCTGACTTCCCTACTTATTTTCTTTTTTTGGCCCATTCCTATTTTTCCATTTCTCCCTATCTCACCTTTCCTTCCTTTTCTCATACTTTCCTTTTCCTTTCCTTCTTACTTTTTAATATTCCAATGATCAGTGTGACAATTGAATGCAAATACTGTCTCAGGAAATCACATCAGAAATTGTTGGTAATTATTAAAATTTTCCCACGGCGAACTCATTCCCACGTTCTTTCTTCTCCGTTCCAGAAGAAAGACCCTGGGAACTAACTTGGTTTTCCAAATGGACTTTAGATTATAGTGACGTAGCAGAACGTATGCAGTGATGTTCGATCACGCGATTCCAGTATTTTTGACCAATCACGATGCGATGACATCATCTCTCAGGACATGTAAGTCCCACTACACTTAGCGGGTTTGGGATGCGTAAAAATGGCGTCGAACTAGCCGGTGTGTATTGCTAAGTTTGAAACGACTTCTGACTAAGATGTAAACAAACAGCGTAGGATGTGGCGATTTATCTATAGAAAAGGTTAGTCCCTATCTCTAATTATTCTTCGGTCAAATTTTGAGATGCTTCAAGCCAAAACTTCAGAAAACGATCGCCGAACCCATATCCACATGGTTCTCTTTCAGTAAATGGCCGTCCCGGCAATTCATCTCTTCGTCTTGGGCAGATTCAAGCTGCTGAGAAGAATGAAGATAAGAATAGTTCATTCCCTGAAGAAAACGATAAAGGTCCCCTACAGTCCCGAAGGTATCATGGCAAAGCATTACTGGTAACAGAAGCCAAAAAATGTGGAGAGCAAGAGATGGAACATTTCAAGTCCAGTTACGACCTCGTGCGATGTATTTTGAACAACATTCAGAACGCCCAGAAAAATCGAACCATAATTTTCTCGAATTGTTTTGCCAGAGGAAAGGAAGATGAAAATTCCAATCCATTCCATGGGGAATTGCGATTGGTAAGTGAAACTGAAAGTGTTGAATTTAAAAATGATTGTCACGATTTGTACATGTAGCTGTAGCTTGTTTATTTAGTCTCTTAGAAAATACCTATTAGGTAACTAAATATTTGCGACGAAGTTGCCCTCACTCATTTTATGTGGTCTGTCAAGCATAATTGGAAGGTCACTCGTGAAATCTGTCCCTCGGTCGATTCATTACTGCTTTGAATGTTAGTAAAAGTACAGCCATCTTGGTTGTGCATGCTCACGAGTCTACTGGGAAGAATTCATCCGACCGTAGAATGTGGTTGCTTCAGCACAATTATTGTTTTCTTACAATTTCTACCACCCTCAGGCATTTCTAACCGATCATATTTTTCTTCTCTCCCTGGTAATTGCTTTATTTTACAAAAGACCAAACAAGTTAAAATATTTCCTCCTGATAGGCAGATTAAGCTGTATTTCTAAAGAAGCTGTACAAGTCTTATAAATAAAATAGGAGCAAGGACATAAGAAGCCTTGTGCCTTTGAAGGGTTGATAATAGTTGGCAGATCACTGTTTGTGAATATATGGCATTATATATTTGAACTGCAGTGAAAGAAATTGCTATGAGAGCAGTAATGATCACTATTTAAGCAGTAGTGAAAATAAGGCCTGTACGGGATTCAAACCCATGGCGTCTGTGATACTGGTGCAGTGCACTGAGCTAACAAGCCAACTGGGAGCTGGTCATTATGTTGGTTCTAATAAACCCATGAGTTGGCAGAGCACTGTAAAATGACTTGAATTAAAACATCTGTTAAACTAAATTAAAGGATATGGCATCAATTTTGTTGAAAATCACACCAAATAACTTTTCTTAATTTGGTCCGATAGTGGTGTTCAAGAGTGCTTGCCCTTTCCAGCCTTCTAGCTTGCCGCAAGTTCATTACAGATGAAAAGTCTCCATGGGGTGTCAATATCAAAGCAATTCCCTCTCATGTGTTGTCAAAGATTTTGCCAGAGAGCAGATTCCATACCACTCTTGGAGTATTGCCTTTTGCTGGAAGCTCTCAAATCCATAATGTGGGGAATGCTATGACTTCAGACCCTCTAGATCAAGCTATTGCTACATTCCAGGCTTCATTCAGTGAATGTACCGCAGCCACCCAAAATAAGCTTGGCATAAAGTTTGCATCACTAAAACAGCACCAGAAGGCATTTCTCCTTTTCATGCAAGCTAGTGACCGAGGCCATCCTATGGCACAATTTAACCTGGGTTTGTGCTATGAGAATGGAAAAGGAGTGGAAAAAGATTTGGGTAAAGCTGTAGAGTGTTATGAAAATGCTGCAGCTCAGGGCCAGGCAGGAGCTATGTATAATCTGGCTATTCTTTACATGCAGGGAGAAGGGGGCCTCTCGAAAGATCTTCAACATTCAATTGAGCTTCTAAAGGAAGCTGCAGAACATGGTCTGTGCAAGGCACAATCATTTTTAGGATTGTACTATGCTGATGAATCTTCCAGCCATTGTGATTATGAAAAGGCAGTTCCTTATCTTAAAATGGCAGCAGCTAAAAATGATTCATCAGCAGAGTACACTCTTGGAATATGCTATGAGCGTGGCCTTGGTGTTGAGAAAGACACGCCCAGAGCCGGAATGTTCTACAAGTCTGCAGCTGAGCATGGACATACTGGAGCACAGTACAATATAGGAGTGTTCTTTGAGCATGGTCTTGGTGGCTTTGTGGTCAATAAAAGGGAAGCTGCTCGATTTTACCGTATGGCAGCAGAGGCAGGAGATGAATATGCTCTTCATAATCTTGTACTCCTGAGAAAGTCAGTGGAGACAGAGAAGCTGGTTAAACAATCAGTAAAGCCTCAAAACCTGGTGTTCTCTTTGTTTAAGGAAATGGTCAAGCCAAGTGGAATGAGTACCAGTAATCAAGTGAATCAGGAGAATCAAGGTATACCTCGCTGTGCATCCAGTCCTGTCATTCTAGACCAGCCTGACATTGAGCAGCAGAGTGCACCCTCCAACACATCAAACGCATTGCTGGCATTTTAACCCAGTGCAAATGTAAGTGAACATCAAATTTAGGAGTTGTCTCTCCAGTAGAACTGCACATCATCAAAGCCATTGCTGGCATTTTAACCCAGTGGAAATGTAAGTGAACATCAAATTTAGGAGATGTCTCTCCAGTAGAACTGGAGGCTCAATCTTCACCCCATAGTCACTAATGGCACAAACCGAACAAGGTGTTACTTGGAAAGATAATTGTGATTTAATTAATAACCATTGTACCTGTTTCCAGTTAGTAACCAGTTTTTGTAATGTAGAAGATGTAGAATAAATGTTGTGTCTAGTCGAGACATGACAATCCTGTAATTAAATTTTTTTAAAATTTGCAAAATTTAAGACTCTCTCTTTTGATACAACTTTCATAATTTTGTTGTATATAGTATTTACACAAAGGTAATTAACAGTATTTCGTTAACGAAAAGTCAACTCAAACCTCTTAGACATAAAACACTTCTCATGCAAATATGAGGAATAAAGATGCAAAAGCTGTTCTCAAATTTCTAATAAGGATTTCAAAAAGAATATTAACAATAAAAGTGCAACATGATGTTGAGGCCTCATATCATTATTGCTGGTTAGAAAAGATATAAACAAAAGTGCTCTGTAATCACCCTACTCCCCTGCACATTTACACAGGAAAAAGACAATTAATAGTCTGTTTTAAAGGTTTTGGTTTTTTCTTTTTCTTCAATGGAGCATTTAAAAAAATTAAGCACTTAGCATCTTCTCAACAATGATAACTTCATCTAAGGTTTTAATTGTTAATTTTCCCTTTGAAATCTTATTTTCTAATAGATTTTCCTACAGATATTAACTGTTGTATTGTTACTGTGTGACCAATAAAGTATCTTCATGGAAAACTTTTTAGTTGGTGCCCTCAATGAAGTTTATCCTGTCCATAACAGCCTCTAACCCTCTCTTCTTTGCAAGACTGGTAATACCTGTCTTGTCCTTACTCAGCAAAATCTTATCCTCTTGGGATGTCCATTGTTCTTTACCTAAGGATGGAAGTAAGAAAATTAGAAGACTTAACCAATACATCTAGAGAAAAGATCAGTACAACCAAACAAAAATGTAGAACCAAATCAAACTCTGAAAAACTTTCATGGTGAAAGAGATGCTTTGTCAATACATGCCAGGCACAAATTAACCAGGTGCCAGTAACTTGAAGAGTAAATAGGGCCAGCAAAAAGATAAATTGCTCTCCAGTGGTTAACTGTTAACAAAATGTATTGTGCCATCAACTGGATGGAGATTTAAGGAGTGGATAGCAATGTTTACCCTTAAAAGAAGGGACCTTAAGCAGTCAGGACTGCAACGCCAAGGAAGATGTTGATTAAAAAATTAATTTCTACTCATTAGAATTTCAAAAATGGCTGCATGTGTTTACTACCTCATATGGTGTCACAACTCAACCTCAATATAACGTATAAAAGTAGTGTTGAATTCCAAATGGAAATTAAAATAATTTACCATCACAGTTTCAGTTGGCAAACGACATAAATTTTGGTGATTTCATGTTGCTGTTTTACAAAGGATGGCCATGAAATGTACGAAGTTTTAAAATGCATGTGCCAAGCTATTGTTCTTCCAATAAGATCTTTTGTTTTTTCCACATCCTCATTGCCGTCGCCATTGTGGTTTGCTTAAAGTCCCTACTATCAAAACCAGGACTGTTCATACCGTCCTTCAGATAATTTTCAGCATGACCAAGGTCTCCAGAGCTGACAAGCAGTGTGTGGATGATCTGAGGAACTGTTAGCTTCTTGGACTGCATTTTCTGTAAGTGCATAACAGCTTTAATCTAAGGTTGCTAATAAAATGGTTTTGTTGCTTTTAATGCCAATCATTTCATAGACCAATGATACTGAACTTTTCTCTTAGTTTCCTTGAGAATCATATAAAACATCATAACCCATAATTTTAGTGTTCCTGCAACTCAAAATCGAATTTGAAGATGCCATTTTCACTTTCAAATTATAATGAACAGATCAATGGTTATTTTCTAGCTAAAAAATAAGCTGTCATCAGGTTGTCCATGCTAAGTACAAACATTATGAACCTCAATGTTGCTTCGCAGTTGTTGGTAGAAATGTAAATGTGCTTCCATCTCTCTTGTCTCCTTTCCTCTGGGGTCATTTTCATGATCAGGTGAAAACTCCATTGCTGTTTTGCTTCGCTTTGCCAAAGGCCTCTTCTCATTGTCATCATCTGAAGGCCCTTTTCTTACTGAAGGGCTCTTTCTAAAAATAACTTCCCCATCAAAATCATTCATTTTGTCCTGTTCATCACTTAATTTTTTGTTTCTCCTTGTCACAACACTTGAATCAGCATCTTGACTTGAAGACAATTCCTTTTCTTCAGCTTTATTCCCATCTTCAGAGGATTCCCAAACATTATAAACACAAGGTCTTTGTTTGCTTTCATAAGCTATTTGAAGAAGACTGTCTTCAAACTGCTTATCATAATCCACATCTTCACCAGCACTGCTTACCTCAGCTGTACTATTAACATCTGGCATGTTTTCTGACAAAATAGGAGAAAACTAAGGGTAAAATCTACTGAACACATTTAAAATCTCATGCTAAAAAAATTTCCCAACAATTTTTTCCAGTGATAAATACTAAGATACTCTTCAACTAATTCATATTTATTATTTCTGTTATTTTCCCTACCATTCTCCTATTTTCAATAAAGCTACAAATTTTTGCTACTCATGTTGCTCACAAAGTCTAGTTTCAGTTAGCTCTTATGAGTAAGATCTCACGCAATACACACACATTACAAAACATAGCCAGGGCTCAACACTAACTTTTCAACTTACTAGCCAAGTGACTAGTGACAACTTAGATGTTACAACAATTTCAGTTTGTTTACTAGCCAAACTGGCCCAGTGGAAATTGAAAACCACTGACCAAAACTGTATTTCTACTATTCTGTGGCTAGTTGGCTACTGTTAGTGTCAAGCCCCAATAGCAAGAGACGATCAATAAGGACTACCTGCAGTCACTGCATTTTTAGCTTCATCATCCGTATCATAAGCATCCTCATTTGGTGCATCATCTGTTTTATCCTTTTTTTCAACTGTTTCATCTTCTGTTTCATCTGTCCCTTCCCCACTTTCATCTGTCTTTCCATCTCCTTTTTCAGTTTCTTCATCTTCCTTGCCTGTTCCTTCAACTTTTTTATTTTCTTCTTTTGTCTTCGCAGCCTGAGCCCTAGTTATCCTTGCATCCCCTGGTAATTGAAAGTATACAACACTGAGATGAAGCTATCACGCCAGCAGTATATCTGTATATCTTCATATTAAAAAAAAAATTCGATTTCAGAGGCTTTTTGAGTGCTAAGTAGATTGGTATTAAAATAGAAGTCTTGTAATCCCACACTTCCCAAAAATGAATGTTTTTCAGTGTATCACTACAATTTTTCCTTTTTTCAAGAGGAACTTTTCCTGCTGTCCAGAGATATGAAATATGAAGACTGCATGAAATACTTCTCTGCCATACATGAACTTTTTGCATGAGCTACATGTAAATACTTACTTTTCTTTGTTATGTAAGGTTTTTTCCTATTTTCTTTCCATCTGTCATGATTCTTGTTTTTATTTCCTTTGTTACCTAAACGATTTTATGTGTAAAATAAATTCTGTATTAGCCATAACAGTCCTTTACAGGACTACCATCCTCAGAGCATCAGAAAATCCAGTCAATTAAACTGTTCTCATCTTAGTAAAGGCTGATAGTTTCGAAAGAAACTGTTTGAGGCTACGTCAGTGGGAGTAACGAAATAATTTGGATATATCAACAAAGTCGAAATGGTAAATTGGCCACCGTAACCATTACAAAAGCTGACGTTTCGAGCGTTAGCCCTTCGTCGTTTTTCAAAACTGTTACATATCACAAATCTTAAAAAGTCTGAGGTTCTTACCAGAAGAACTTTTTCCACCTCTTGTCCACAAGGACAGTTCACTGTATTGCTTATTACCTTTTGTCTTAGGATGTAATACTTTGAGAAAATGATCTCTCATTGACTGCCATGTGTGAGTTGTAACCTAAACATGAAATTTCATATTAATACAAATGTTGTAGTTCAATTTTATACTTGGTTCAAATTTTATTTTCCTTTGTTCTCGGTCATGTTAATGTATCATAATGAGTTTGAAACAAAGAAAATAAAATTTGAACCAAGGATAAAAATTGAACTACAACACAAAATGTACCAATAGTCTAGATTGAAAAATCATCATACTTAGCAGCTAACATGTGGTGACAATCATCATTGATTATAACAACAATAATCATCACAACTGACACATAACTTATTAATTTTTCCTACAACTACATTATCTTGCTACAGTATCCAACTCAGTCCCCAATGGAGAAACACTAAAGAACAACACAAAAGTTTAGGACTTTTCTTACTCACCTTTTCATTTTCAGCCTTTTTGTACAAAGCATTGCCTCCAATAGGATAGCAGGTAAAATGTTCATTCACAAAGTCCATCAGAGCCAAATCCTCTTTAGGAGTATATGCAATTCGTCCATTCTGCTTCCTGCTGGAACAGAGATCTTTTGTTGATGCAATAATGTTGTCTTAGGTGAATTACCTTTTGGATCCAAATACGGTACATACATACGTTTATTCAAAGCATTTGAAAACAAAGATAAATGTACAAAGAATGCCTTAAAAAGGGAGTTTAGAAGGTTGGCCCTATGTAAAAAACTCCCAAAGAAAACTCCTAAAAATATTCTAATATTAAGATTCTCATACAGTAAACACCCACATACACGAACACATGATTTTGGAGGCCAGGCTGATCAGGTTCTTATTGATCCGGGTGCTTAGTGAAAAATCAGCCCGAAGGTGTTCTTAAATTGTTCTTAAATTTTGTTGTTGAAATTCAGAACTGTAACAATGCAAAATAATGCTTGAGATTAAATTAGCATATTTAATGAAAAAGAAAATTAAAAAATATCGTGACATTATTGTAACAATTAGCCTGCAAAAGAGAATCAACCTTATTACTCGTTAACTAGTGAACAGAACAAGAAAATACATCTAACATGAAGGGCATGTTAATGTCTTATCCATTTTATAAGAACATTTTATGTTTCCAGGCTCATCTCTTCTTATAAAAATGGTGCTTCATTTACAAAATTTCAGCCTGATGTTCTTAATCCATGTGTTCTTATATGCGGGTGTTTACTGTACTACAAAATATTTAAAAATGAACCTAAAGAACGCTTAAAACATGCAAGATTTCCTGCCCCTACAACCCACTTAGGTAAATCGTTCCATTCTTTTAAATTCTCACAAAAAATGAATATTTGTAACAGTTACAACTGGATGCTTGAAACCTCAGCTTGTAATTATGATTACTTCTTGTTTGATTTCACGCTAACTGGAAAAAGTCTTGGATTTCGAGATTACTCAGGGCTCGAAATTAACTTTTTTGTTCAGGAGCCAGCTGGTGACTAACGGAAAAACTTTGGTCACCAGATCGTAAAGTTTGGTCACCAACTTATTTTATCTACAACTTACACAAAAACACGATTTTATACCTTACTTTGCATGCAAGAAAAGTCACAATCGAAGAGCGAAAACAATTGGAAACAACACGATTAACACTTACAGGGATGTAGATAATAGCTGGAACCCAGGAAAATTACCTAACTGTGAACGCGATATTTTCGGCTGTAAAGCACTACTTCTTTCTTGAAATTATTCAACTGATTTGTATCTGCCGCCATTTTCACAGTAAAATTAATGAACAGCACATGGTGATGAAGGGTGCCTGCGATCCCAGTTTCGGGAGAAGCCACTGAAACAATATGGCGCGCCATGAATGCAGTATCAATGTGTCGAAATACATTCAATTTTTTAGATTATCTTGTAATAATCAGAAATCATTTTACTGGGGACGGAAAGGTGATTTGTATACTAGCTATCATGCCTGAATGATTTCCTAGTATAAAGATTTAATAGAAAAAGTTTTGTGTCATGGTTTTCTTTAGTTACCAGTCAAAACGCGAGTCGCCAGTGCTCAATTTTTGGTCGCATTGGCGAACAGTGAGTCGCAA